TACCAGGAGAAGGAATAAATTGGTGTGAGCTGGCACCAGGTCTGCTGTCTCACTTCTCCATGCAGAGAATGTTGATGCTCAGCCTTCTGTCCATCTGGAACGTCTAGCTGCCAGAATGAATGAAACAAGAAAAAGTAATCCAAAAATGGCCAGTCCCATAGCTATGCCAGTGGTGAACATTTAGAAAGCCCCTCCTTTAATAGCCTCTTCCTCCTCCGCCACATCCTCATCTTCGTCCATGGAATTCTCTCTCTCGGGAGCTGTCCATTGTGAAGCCTTGTGTTTAGCTCCTGTCATTTTCCATTAAATAAACAGCAAGGATTTCCCCTAAATCCTGCAGTCTTTCAGAGCAATCTTTTCCTTTGAGAGAGTTGAATTGCAGATGACCTCACTGATGACTTGGTTGTGATTGATTGAGATACAGTGTAACGTATTCATTATGAAGGGGAGCTCAGACACATGTTCGTCTCTTGGTTCTGCTGCTTCCCCGCTGTGAACCTTGATCTTAATTTGACATTTCTGTGCCTCAGTTTCCTAGTCTTCGGATGGAGATGATGACACTATTTCCCTCAGGGTTTTTGAAGAATTAGATGAATTAATTCACGTAAAGCACTGGGAATTCACTTCCTGTCTGATAAGCACGTAGTAGCTGTTAACGGTTATCCTTACTAATACATCCAATTCTAATGCAGTGCTATTATTACTTATTAAATGCTTTCTGTGTACCCGACTTTTAAGAGCCATTTTCTGATTAAATTCGTAACACAACCTTATCAAACAGGTACTGTTAATATCACCATTTTATAGATGAGAAAACTGTAGACTTAGAAAATGCAGGTTTTGTGCCCGACTTACAACAATAAGCAGTTTAAACCCAAACTCCAGTCCGGGTCTGTGTACCCCGAAGCCCCTGCTCCTGACCGTGACATGGCCATGCTTCGCCAGGGTAGCAACTCTTCATTCATCATCGATGTTCAGTGAATGTCACTGTATAAAATACATGCAAGTTTCTGGTGACTTAGCTCTCTGCATTTTCTCGTTAGTCAGTCACCAGTAAGAATCTGTGGAGAACTACACGTTCCCAGCAATGTGCTAGCCCTGAGAGAGAAGTAGAAATCCTCCAGCAGCTTAACCGTCCCAGCAGGGGCACTGCGGTTCATGAGAGGGTTAGAGAGAGTTGGGAGTTCAAGGGGCGCGCGGTCAAATCTAGGCAATTCGGCTTCCAGAACAAAATCTCCTGGCATCTCACCCCTCACTTAACACAGCTTTTTTGATATGAGGGAGGCAAGTAAGTAGGATACTTTGCTCATTATTTATAATAAATCTTATTTTAAAGTTGCTATTGATTAGTATTTTGTTGATGTAAAAAGAATTTAAAGCCAGTCAGTCTATATCTAACAGACGTCAGTGATGATGACGCTATGTTAAGCCTGATTACAAAACAATAGACAAAATAGTAAAGAGAGACACAAGCATGGAACTAAGAGGCTGGATGGCACTAGCCGGTTCGGAGAAGGAGGGACTCATAGCCGGGCCTGACAGGAGAAATGTGAGGTGGGAGGATGAGTAGAGCTCGGCTTTGCAGAGCGTCACAGTCCGGATCCAACAGAGAAACATGTATTGAGGGACTGGTTTGGTTAGAACTACAGTTTGGAGATCGTGGCAAGAGAAGGCTGGGTAGATTATTGATGACAAGTACTACATTGTGAAACCTTTTTATGACTGACAAATATTTACTGAGCACAGACTTTTGTTAATGAATCACTTCCATTTTTATTGTTATAAAAATGTTTTCTTTAATGCTCTCAGAGATGATCCTTTGAATACAGAGAGGAAAACCTATAAAAATAGTTCCCTGGTCTCCCCGGTCCCCAGGAGCGAGTGTTCGTTTCACAAAGGCCCAGGGAGTCTCTGCGTGCTCAGCACTGGACTTCAGTCTTCTCAAGGGCAGAGGCTGTAGCAGGGGTCCTGGCTGTGGAGACCTCATCCATGGACACAGTGCTGTTCCAGGTTTATACTTTTCCTGGGAGAAACTGTCACTAACTCTCCTGAGTTGTCCCTTTTAGCAAGTTCTTCCTTATGTGTCACTTAAATTAAGCCATGTGGTATGTGGCCCATCCTCGAACAGGGAGTTGCATGACGGGTTTAAGTCTTTCTGAGGTCCCTGACTTGCTGTATGATCCGTGGTGTCACTTTTCTCAACTGTGAAATGGGCAAGTGTTAAAGGGGTTTGTAATTTGTACAGCAAAGTCCAGATGAGAGTTGCAGGTATTCCTAAGAACTATTCTGTTCTCTTGATTCAAATTGGAAGACCCTCTGTCCTTGATCTCTTTGAGGCATGCTGGGAAGTACCTGTGCTCATGCAGAAAGCCATTCTACTGCTTTATTTCTGAAGGAATCTACATGGCAGGATTGGAGGGCTTCTTGTTTCTGGGGAGCCTGTCAAACTCAGCTTCTTGGGCCTCACCCCAGACTCACTAAATCAGACTCTTCCAGGGTAGAGCCCAGGAATCAGCATTCCAGCGTGCATCCCAGGGGATTCTGATGTGGCTAGGCTTTCAGAATTAGGAACCATTTATCCGAGTCCTGGTCCTCACCTGCTAGGATTTCTGGAGCCCTCTGGGGAGCCAAGGACAGGGATAGGCACTGGTGCCCTGTTGATAGAAGATCAGTTACTATGAGCGCCTGCTTTTGACAAGAACAATGCTAAGAGTCATATGTACGCATGGTAAAGAAAACCAACAAAATGTGGTAACTGCCCTCAGGAAGTTCCTGTCTATTCATGTAGCCTGAGGCATGAAAATCCATCCATAAAAAATACACAAATGGAGCCACAAATTAAAAATGGTGACACGTTTTGAGAGAAGATGGGGGCACTTGACATAGATTGGGAAGTCATCCACAGTGAGGATAAGCCTTTCTCGGAAAGTGACAAGTGGGCAGAGACCTGAAGGATGATTAGGTGAATAATCAGCAGAACCTTCTAGACTTGCACTATCCAATATGGTAGCCACTATTCAGTGACTGTTTACATTTAAATTAAAGTTAAACCAAATAGAAAATTTAATGTCTTAGTTACATTAGCCACATTTCAAACGCCCCATGTGGCTACCGTATTGGACAGTGCAAAAATAATACATTTTCATCATCTCAGAGAATACTCTTAGACTGCCCTGGTCTAGACCAGGGGTGGTGGAATGAGTCTGGCACACCACGTATTTTGAAAATTAAGTTTTATTGAAATACAGCCACGCTCGTTGTGAATTTTCTTTGGCTGCTTTCACACCACAATGGCAGAGTTTAGCAGTTGTGGTAGAGACCATATAGCCCACATGGCCGCCTAAATATTATCTGGTCTTTTATTTAAAAGAATGTGAGGGGATAGATGTAATGTGGCTCTCCAGCACGGAGAGCAAGGCGGTTGCTCATGTAATGCTGCTATTGCTTCACAGATGCTCAAATGCTAAAACAAGAGGGAACAGTGAGCTCATGTTGCTCTGCCAGCGTGCACTCAGGCAGCTGCTGGTGTGTTAATCTCTTCCTTTCCCTCCGTCTGTGGCTTTTGAAGCAGCAGTCTTCTCGTCTAGACAAATTGGAGCAGATCCAAGAAGAGTGACCACGTTGGTGAAGCAGCTGGTTCGTGGAGGCACAGTTGACAATGTTGACATAATTTTGTACTGGGTTAGAGGTTGGACTAAGGGTCTCTTAAAATCCACTCGCCTCCTCCTTTGAGATGATATGGGTCAAAACAAAACTGTTTAACTTTTGCTTTGGAACCCAACACACTGTGTGAAAACCTAGTGCCCTTGCTTATACAATGAGTTCAATATAGTAGATCTTATAAATCATGAGGTGTGCTCAACAGATAATCAAAGTTCATGTGCAAGTAGATTTTGATTTTGAGGAGTGTTTCGCCCAGGATATATAGCTTCTCTACCTGTGTTAATGGAATTTCATTAATGGTATTCATTATCTGACGTACACATTTTAACACAAGTTTTAAAAAACCTAGTTCCAGATTGAGTTGATTTGGAGGGAACACTTGGAAACTTCATGAGTCTTCTCAGTATCTGCAATCCTAAATAGGTTACTTAGAAGTCCAAGATCTTTCTCTTTTGTTACTTCTGGATTAAATTCACTTAGAAGTACTCTTAGTGACTGGTACATGAATTGGTGTATTTTCCTGTTATTTTCTTGCAGATTGGCTTGTTCTAGCAAATGAGTCATTGGTTACACTAGTACTTTTTGATCTGTGCTAGCCAGAGCACTAGCATTGTTCCAGCTCAGGTACTACCATTGCACCACCACTGAACGTCGAAAAAGACCTTGACCTTACCTACGTTACAATCTAGAAGGTGCAAGCTGTGTCATGTACCATGAGAGGAACTTTGGTACATTATTTACAATCTTGGTGACAGCTCTGAAAAATAAGTCTTATTATCTCTTTTGCTTTTTTTGAATAAGAAAACTGAGACTCAGAAAAACTGAATAATTTGTCCCTGGTCACGTGTTCAATAGTGACAGAGTGGAAACTCAAATCTAGATCTCTCCCACTCCACAGCCATTCTTTCTCGTCCACTACTGTCGATTTTTCTTCTTGGTCATTGGTTTTCAGATAGGATAATTTAAAGAATTGTTTCGTATAGGACATCAGAGCTCAAGTCTGAATTTTGTAATTCTAGTCTGAATTTTGGCGCATCTATTCTCTGTATGATTTTATCAATAGAACCTGACTCAGATTCATTGGTGGAAAGATTGGCGATAGGTTATTTTTATCTCCTTAGAATTGAACTTGATTTCTAAAACCTTCTAGATACACATTTTCCCCCGACACACTGTTCTGAAGTGATTCTTTTTAACATTTAAAATCTAAATTACAATTTTATTGTTTCTGAGCTGACCTATTTTGTACGCAGAATTAACTATGATTTTTGTTGGTTTCTTTTTGTGGAGTGAATAACCACTAAAGAAATATTGCTAATTCTCTTTTGTTTTTTCAGATTTGATGGGAACTTTAATACCAATGTATCTAGAACAATTAGTTGTGATCGACTTTCTACTACTGTGAATAGCCGGGCCTTCAATCCAGGACGAGACTTAAATTCAGGTCAGTAATCTCTTGGTTTTATAAAAGTGAACTGTGTTCTGCCACATTCAAGTTGAACAATTGTATTGCTTCAGACATTTTCCTTTAAGTTCTGAAGAAAAAAATATCATATACTTAAAGTAGGATATTTCTTTCTGGGAAGTTAACACTCAAAAGATGGAAAGGAAGAAGAAAACCAAGCTGAGAATGTCGTATCAAGCATTTACTGCATAGCTATACCTTGCTAGACTCTTCAGTTCATGATCTCATTTGTTAGGAGTTACACATTTGTTGTTTTAAAGGTTATTCTAGAGAACCAGTTATCTTTTCAGGAGTAGATGCTGAATTTCATTTGTATTCCCTAATTATAATTTTTAATTTGTTTTGGGGTTTTTTGGAAGAAGGATGAGGGAGCTTTTCCACTAATAAACAGTGCCATGTTGCCATATATTGAGGTTGAACTTTCCTTCCTGGTCTTGTTGAAACTCAGTCGTATATAATAGTAATAACTAATATAAATAATACCTGTATATGTACTTATATGTAGCTTCAAAGTGACATAGTGTCTCTGCCTTCTTGCCCTGGAGTTGCAGTCTATTTTTCTCCCCCTATTTGTCTCGTTATGTACGCTTGTTGATTAATGGGCCTCAGAACCCAAAGGATTTGCCTTTTAAGAGCTGAAAGTACCTTTAGAAGTCACCACCAGCCTCGATCCTCAGGTTTTAGCAAGGAAGAATCTGAGGCTCAGAAGGGTCCTAAGACTTCCCTTATGACTGGAGAGGTGAAAGGTCTAATCCTTAAACATGAAGAATTGTACTTCCCAAATTCCAGGTCTCTTGCAGACTTGTAAAACCCAAGAGAGAAGCCAGCCAGAGGACCAGAATATTTACTCTTAGAGTCCTATCCAGTCTTGGCCCAGGGGAAGAGTTGTGGTCTTTGGGAATTGTATACACAAACCAGGTAATCTATTAGGTCAAGAAAGAAAGACTTGTGAGCTTTATGTTGCTTGAGGAGAAGAAAACTATAGCTGCCAGCTAAATGGTCCAGCCTAGACCTGCCAGGAGTATATTGTGTAGACCCGGTGTATAATGGATTCAGTTATTTCTTTTGTTGGTCAGAGAATCTGGGGTCCTTCTGGAGCAGATGGGGTTTACTACTAGAAAGGAAGCTCAGTAGAAATACTTTTCATAAAAAATAATTGAAGAGAGCAGAGAAGGGCATAGAATGGGCAGAAAAAATGAATTATGGATGATTCCATAGTTGCACAGGACACGGAGGTGGAACTTGAGTCTTCCGGTTCCCAAACTCAGTACTTACCTTCTTTTCTTCAGATATGCTCAGTAACAGGCGACATGTTGCTGGGGATGAAGACCTGAGGTAGAAATAGCCATCTTTGAGTAGGGTCAAATTTAAAGGTGTTCCGGAAAGACAGTGTAATCCGACGTTTTGTGTAGTTAAAATTTTTACAACACGTGTTAACTTCTGGGCTACCCATTTGCATTAATAAGAAAAAATAGTGCCTTACTGTTTTTTGTATATATGAGATCTAGAAGGGCTCGTACATAAAAGTTAATAGTTATCTTTTAGGGATGGAAGAATAAGGTATTTTTACTTATTAATTTTCTTAACTTCAGGCCTGCATTACTTTTATAATCAAGGGGAAAATAAAACAAGAAAGAATGATAGACTACTTTTGAATGTATTTCCACTCCTTTCTGGTAGACAGTATCTTTTTTTCACACATCTTTGATTGTAGATCCTTGTGCTGGTGTTGAGGTTCTGGACAAAGCCCCAGCACCCTCCTGGCTGTGTGATTGGGACACTATAAAGTGTGGACTGGGGCAGACAGCCTGATGCATGCTCACCTGGGAGCCAGAGCAACGCTCCCCTGCCAGGATCGCTCACCTCACTGGGCCAGACCTTGGAGGATCTGGAAGTTACTGCAGCCAGGGCTACATTCTCGTTGCCTTATTTTCTATCTGTTCGTTGTTTCTGATAATGAGCATATTGTTGAGATCTATCTCCATCATCAATAGTCGTATTACTGTGCCTTTTTCTTAGTAAAGACAGAAGCCATTCTGCCCAGTAATGGCCTCCTACCTACTAACTGGAATGAATAAGTACAGTAGAGTTTATTCAACAATTATTTTATCAAACACCTTCTGTGTGGTAGACACTCTGCTTTGTACTAGGTCAGCTGTAAACAAAACAAAAAGCTTATATTCTAGGAGCCAGGAGACATAGATCTGAAGTAAATATGCATGTCAGGTGATGATGGATGTTATGGAGGAAAGTAACAGGGTGAGACCTGAGGGGCCTGGGGGGATGGCGTGGAGGGAGGAGAGAGAAGGAAGGGACTCCCCAGTGGGGTTGTAAACCATGGGACAACGAGGACGTGTATCCCAGGCAAAGGCTTTGAGTTGGGAAAATGTTTGTTGTGCTCAGAAGCAGCGAGAAGGCCCCTATAACTGCGGTTCCATGAATAAAGGAGGAGAGTAGAAAAAGATTAGGCCAGGGAGGTGGTTGGGGCCAGATCTCCAAGAGCCTTGCTTTACTGGCCATTATAAGGACTTGAGCATTTGCTCCGAATGAGATAGAAGCTGTTGGGGGAGGGGGAGGAAAGAGTTCCCGCAGATAAGTCACGTGATTTGACTTAGGTTAAGAGGTTACCAGCTGCTGCCACAAGAATAGGCCCTAGCTGGCAAAGGTGGGAGCAGGGAGAGACCATTTAGGAAGTTATTCCAAAACCCAGCTGTCAGGTGATGACGGCGTTCATGGGGCAGCAACAGTGGAGGTGGTGAGAAGTGGTTGGATTCTGAATATGTTTTGAAGGTGGAACCAGTAGGATTTGCTGATTAATTGGATAGGGGGAGGGGAGGAACTGTGAGAGTAAGAAAAGAGTTGGGCAGGACTTCCAAGGTATTTGGCCTTGTCAACGAGAAGGACAGAGTTGCCATTTACTGTGACAGGGAATGCTGGGGGAAGAGCAGGTTTGTGTGGGAGGCAGGGAATCAACATCGCAGTGTTGGAAAAGTTAAATTTGAGAGGCGTATTAAATATCCAAGCAGATACGTCTCATAGGCAGGTGGATATCCAAGTCTGGAGTCTGAGAAATGGGCCAGACTGGAGATTTAAATTTGAGATTCATTGTGCATCAGTAGTACTTAAATCATGAGACTCAATTAGATCACAAAGCAAGTGGCTGTGGGTAGAAAAGAGAAGAGGTCCAGGGACTGAGTCTTGGGGACCTTTACCACTTAGAGATCACTGAAATGAAGAGGACGCAGTAAAGGAATCTGAGAAGGAAGTCAGTCTGGCAGGAGAACCAGGACAGCCATCTCCCTGAAGCCATGTGAAGAAAGTGGTTCAACGAGAAGGGAGAAATCATGTGTTAACTGGGTCCAGTAAGATGACGGCTAAGAAAACTGACTGACAACTGGATTTTTAAACATATAGGTTATTGGTGAACTTGACAAGAGTTGTTTGGTGGAATTATTGAATAGAATGAACAGCTGATCCTAGTCAGTTCAAGCGCTTAAGAAGTAACAAGTGTTGGAGACAGTAAGTACTTGAACTCCTAAGTTTTGCTTAAAGGAGAGCTGGAGGACCATGTGGCGTCAAGAGAATATTTTTAAATTGAAAGAATGTACAGCAAGGTTATGTGCTAAAGGAAATGATCCCCTAGAGGAAATCTAATATGGTAGAGAAAAGCTAATCTCATAGAGAAATGGAGCTAAGGGAGGTGATTGCTAGAGCCTTTTCCTTGATTGGGCAAGAGATGGTTGGGTTCCAAGTGGGGGACTAGAATCACAGAGCGTTCATTCTTAGTGAGAGGAGTGAGGGTAGAGTAAGTGTGCCCATAATGATCGATGTAGCCTAGAGAACTTGGAGACATTCCCTTTTAGTGATCCTGTTTCCTCAGAGAATTAGGAAGCAAGATCATCAGCTGAGACTGAGGTGGAGGAAGATGTGTTGAAGACCTTGTAGTTATATTAGAATTATCTTCTATGACTGAAGTTTTGGAGTAGAACTCAGCTGCACAAATAATTAGAGATCCTGACAAAATGCTGTTTTATTTGAGTACTTATTTGTTAAGGGAGGGATGGTTTGAAAAATCAGGAGGTGGAGAGGAAGAGGATGGTGAGGGTGGGGATATTTGTTAAAGACCAGATCTTGAAATCTGCTATTTCTAAGAACATGCTTCAAGTATAACGTACTGCCTAACAAGCGTTGTTCTCAGCACAGTTGACGTAGCTAGACTTACAGGCAGCTTTTGGCAATATGCAGGTATTTGAGAACTGACTTGCTTGCATTTGAAGTTTTGTGACATTCCACCAGGCTGTGGCTGCTTCCCAAAGTCCACATTCTTGAGCAGTCATTTGTAATGTGAGAGGAGTGGGAGACGGTGAGGCTGACCTCAGAGCTCCCCCTTTTCCTCCTCTCTGGCTCATGCCCCTTTTCAGAGCAGAATTAATGTACTTGGTGGGCTATCACATGTCTGATATTTACATCTGTAAGATGTCCAGCCTGAGGCTCTTTCAGACTGTATATAATCCATCAATGGGTCCCTAATTGATAACACAGTTTCAGATTGCCTTTCAGACTAGCTGGAAACAGACTCACATAAGTTGTAAACTATTCCTGGCTTCATTTATCCAAAACCAGGTCATGTGTCCATCCATCCAACGCACATGTGTATTCTTTTTCTTGACCACCCCTGCCAGATCTTGACTTTTTAAATTGACTCCTTCTCCCTGATTCCATTCAAATAACTGATGTTTGACGGGGCATGTGTTATATTGTGGTGCTGGTAATGTTTTGCTCAGGTTCCTTCCTGCTTTTATCCCTAGTTTCTCTCTCTCTCTCTCTTTTTCTTTTTTTCAAATTCCTGCTGAGCTATTTTCTTGTGTGTAGCCTGATCCCTAAAGAGAGTTTATTTGAAGAGTCCAAGGAAAGTTGCCTCTTGCTCTCTTCAGTTATGCAATGGCGGTGAGAGTGGAAGTGGGAGTTAGTCTTTCTCG